TCCATTAACTTTACCTCTGACACCACAATCAGGACTGTGCTTTGTGTTTAGTAAATAAAAAAATTCTACCATATCAAGATGGTGAACATGGTAAATATTAGATGCTAAACATCAGTATGTTTGCATCGTCATTGTGAGCCAGTTAGCAGGCTGTACAGAGCCCCTGTAGTATGACTGTAGACTCTAATTCTTGTCACTTGATAAATGATTTTAACGTCTAATCGACTGGCTAAATAGTTGGTGATTTGTTTTCTGATAACCAACTAATCGACGACTTGTTTCTGCACTAGATTTGGGACAAATTACTGTAAGCAAACTTGATTTACGACTAATTTTGAGCTATGTCAAACCATTTTAATGCAGCGAAAAGTGTCTGAGAAACAAAAGGATTTGGAGCAAATAATGCCCATGTTTTTATGAAGCATTACCTGCAATCTATGACACAAATCGTCCTTATGTATCAAGTTACATTACATAAATGTTGACACAGTTTGCAGCACTGCATGCCCTGCGACTGTTCCCCGAGCATCGTGCCCAAGGAATAAATGTCCTCATTACTGTTAAGTGCTGCTCATATGTTCCCTAATACCCATTCATGGTATCACAGCATGTCAGTTCGCCCCGAGGAAGCTGTCAGCTACAGATGTCAATCCCCCCGGCTGACCCCTCTCCCTCCCCCCACCCCTGCACACACATGGCACTGGAGGATTGTCCCCCGGAACAAAGGAATGGGGGGTTTCTGTGGAGAACAGGCAACCAAACATTCCTGGCACAATGGAGAGAGTGGCCGGCAGGTTCAATTAGTACACACTTTACTCTATGCTCTATACGATCCCACTGAGCTTGAAAACAAAGCTGGCGATCCAAACTCCAATGGGGGTATTTGGTGATGCCGGCTTGTTCATGGTGGTCTCAACGTTTTAAGAGAGTTTCTCCTATTATCTGCTTTGTTGCTGCCATGTTGCCAGAGAAATAAACCACTTGAAGGGCACTCGGGGCAGACATCCTCAAGTTGCAAGATTGATGGCTCTCCAAAAACTTTCAGCTCCTTGGTTTTGGAGTAAACAAGACTACCAGTGTTGTAAATAAGCTGGGACTGCTACCAGTCACTGCAAGCAATCTTTGGCAGGATTAAGTGCCACCCAAAGACTAACGAAACACTTCAAGGCACATTTTCTTAACTGACCATGATACTCCTTTTCTAAAGGATTGCCAAGAGAGTTGAGCATGAATCCATCAAACAAAAAATGTCATTTCATCCTTGTCAGTGAAATTAGGATGCTCCAGGGAGGTACCAGAGATCTCACCAGCAGCAGCTCAACTTCTATATCATGCAATGCATTAAATGAAAACCAATAAGACACCATATATGTTGCAGTGATAGTTGGATGCAGCACTGACAGTGATTTGATGCTCCTGTCACTGCTGCTCATAACTGCCTGGAAACCTTCATCTAGGATTTCAGCAAATAAGATGCTCAACACAATCAGTACGTAAAGGTGTTGTACAAGCAGCCAATAAAACACACACCAGGCTGCAGAGCAGAGGCTGAGCTGTCTGATCTGAAGTACAGACATAAACTGATGTACTCACCTATTATACACAAGGTGCGCCGTAACGTCGGGTACTTGGCGTATCCGAGAGCAATGAAACCCCCAAAGCCGCTGTGTCACACTTCACACCATCCAGGCGCACATGTTGCCCAGTCCCCACGGAGAAATGTCACAATCATGAGCAGCAGCCAGAAGCCAAGTGAAGCCCGCTGCAGGAGCGGACCGTGTCGCCGTGGGTCGCCGCACAGCGTGTCCAGCCGCCGGATGAGATGCGTAGGGCGCCACCCTTTGCTGGACCTCTGGGACTCTGCGCCCACCTCGTTTACTCTCTCTCAGCCTTGACGCCGTAGATCGCGGGACATGAAGCCAACTCTCTCCGCCTCAAGGCAGCGTGATCCTGCGCGGTCACTGCTGATGAAACCGTGATCGCTCGTTAATGCGTGGTGCGCAATTAAAGAGGCGCGCAGGACGCCGGTGCCACCCACTAAAGGAGGTTTTCGTGGTGGGTGTACGGACAGGGAATTTTAATGAGGGACTGCTGCTGCAGAGTTTCCCTCCCTGCTCAGAGAGTCGTGCTCCCCCTGTGCTGAAACCCAACTGTCCCGACAAGGAAACCTTTAAGTTACCTTACAGGAGCGGAGGGGGCGGAATGACGAAATAAGGCGTCAATGAAACTCAACTGTTGGCCACCAGCCAGTCAGCAGAGTGGGAGATTAGCCCGTGGGACACCTGTTGACTGGGAACAGCTCACATATAGTGACTCAGTGGACAAAGCAAGCAAAGCCAACTGTGCAATGAGACTGATATTTCATCATCTCTACAAAGCCTCTCCACTGTGAGTCTCTCCTGGTGCACTGCTGCAGAAACTGTGGGCTCACATTAAAGCTGCAGGAGCTTTCACAGACTGGACACAAGAGATCAATATGAAAGGGTTAATCGATTAATCAGCAATCCTTTAAGTCGAGTAAAACTATTACTTCTCTCAATATTCATGTATTTTATGACATGTTTTGGCTCTTGAAGTGTAATTCTCAAACATCATTTAGGCTCCAGAATCTATAAGTGAATAAATAATAATAATTACAGTCTCACACAAATGTAGATTAATGTTAAATTTTGTCCCCATATTTTAACTTTGCATTACTTTGTCTTAGATTCCCCTTTCTTTCTACTTGCATGATTTTCTTTATATACATATTTAATGAGCATTGTTGAAGGGAGCCCTCAGATTTCCATCGCCAACAACTGCTTCTTTGTAACTGTTGCACAGATGACAATAAATAGCTTGAAACTTAAAGAGTCCCTGAGTAAACATAACTGAAGATAGTGAGGAATGCATAGTCATCCACATATCCTATGAGTCATATTATGAGATGGCTAAGGAGTAGGATAAACAAACAGGCTATGGTTACACTTGGAATTATTTTGTTCCATGAGCATTAATTAAAGATGATGATAATAAATGATACTGCAGATCATACATGTCCTGTAGGCTGTGGCGGGCTTCCTCTTTTCTATCTCCCCAGTTTCTTTAATCTGAATAAATCTGGGGTTTTCTGAACTTTTCAGTTTGAGTTATAATAAAATAGCATGAAGCAGCTCAGTGGTTCTCAACCTGCGGGCTGGGAGCATCTGAAGGGGTCGCAAAACAAATCTAAGGGGTCTCAACAAGATAGAGCAGGAAAGGTGCCAAAACTTTTTTTTTTCCTTGTGAAATGCTTGCGTCTTAGTGCTCTGACACACCAGGCTAACTGTCCACCATCATTGGTTGTCAGTTGCCCTCGTTTTTTATGGTGTGTTCTGCACCACTGGCGCTAGTCGGCCCTTGTCAGAGGCTTTTCAGCTGATCAGTCGGAGTCGGTGATTTCATCAGTGAGAGAAATCCCTGTGACTTGCAGTTTAGCTCAGATTGTCTTTTTAGACATAGAGCTCTTTGGCAAAAAATGGTTCGTAATTGTTTGCTAGTGCACGGTAAATATGATTTATTGTTTCGACATCTGGTTGTGTTGTTAATGTGCTAACTGGCTTGAATCCGTCCTGTCAGTCTTCCAGTTTCCCTTTCTGAAGGACGAATACAGACCTCCGCTGCCTGCTGGTGAATGTACATGCTTGTTGGCTGTTGACTGCAGTTTTTGCAGTGTTGTCAAGTGCAACATTTTAGCCAAGACAAAGGTGACGTAAGGCGACGCAACAGTCAGTTGCCGCTGGCGCTGGCTCTTTGATTTCGGTTTGGTTTGTCTGGCCCTTTAAATGTAAATATGTATAAACCACTGATGGAAAAGCTCCAACCTTATTGCTATATTCAACATGCAACTGATTCATTCAAATGGCCCATAAGTCAAAAAGCCTGAGAACCACTGCTACAACTCAATAGCTGACAGTATAGTTGGTGGTAAGGCGTGAAATGCTGCATGGTCTTTTTGTGCAAAACCTCTACAAGTGACCTTAAGCTACTCATCACTTTGTTGGAGGCTCCCGACCCAGCAGCCTGGGTCTGTTCGTCTGTCAGTACAGCTCTTTCTCTCTAATCCCACACCTCTCAAACAGCAGCTCAACACTGAATCCGTAGGGCGGCTGTCAGCTGGTCCATCTATTACAAAGTTAAACCACTTATCCTTCCATATGGGAGGGAACAGGGGCATCTAACCTCAGCTGGCACCCTGGTATGAAACAGCACATCGCTCTACCAAAAGCCTAAACCAACACCGGGTAAACAAAATCTGGTGTTTACTGCATGGGGAGCTCAACGGCAGATACAAGTGGCCCATAATCACATGGGTGGGGAGGAGCACGCCTGTTTGATTTAGTTTTGAGTGTGTTTTGATTGCTTTTATCAGCCATTGGGTGTCTCTTTGACTTCTTGTTACCAAGTGAACAAGAGCAGGCCCAAGCATGGAGTGTGGACTGGTAACTGGTGAGGTGCTAGCTCACCTCAGGGGCACCACTGAGGTGCCCTAAGCAAGGCACTGAACCCCCAACTGGTTGGGGTGCCTGTCCATGGGCAGCCACCGCACCCTGACATCTCTCCATTTAATGCATGTTAAGGTCCTGTTTGTGCCTGTGTGTATTTCAGGCCTGTGTGTAAATGACAGAGTGAAAAAAATAGACTTTCCCCTCAGGGATTTATAAAGTATAACTTCTTCTTCTTCTTCTTAAATATGAGTCAATTAAAAGAAAATCCATTAATAATACTTTCGTGAGAAATGAAAGAGCACATTAAAATCACACTTTCTCATGCTGTTGCTGAGAAATCCCTCCTAAGGCAGGACGGAGTCATACAGTAAAGACGCACTGCCCCCTACAGGCCACAGAATACCATTGCACCCAATTACAAAACGTGACTCAACATTTTCCTCAGACCATCGAGTCATCCATCACAGTTACAGTCTCCCAGTGGCAGCACAAAATGCAGTGCAACTTGATTTATGACGCCACAGTGACGAAACAGATGCTACATTCATTTTATTTTTAATTTAAAAAAGGGAAAATCTTATTTACAATCATTTTCACAGATATGGGAATTTTCATAACAATAGTAAGTAGTGACATTTTCAGGTCAGACGTGTCTTTTTCAGCCTGGAGTTGTCTGCGGCTGCTTTGCGCTTACGTGACGGAGTGTCTGGAGTTTCTTCAGAGGGAGCTTCAGTCAGGTAGTACAGCTCGATGGGCGGGGTCGGCTCCTGGAGGAAGGGAAAAACCAGGGCAGTGTCAGCGCAAACGAGCACAGCTTTAACATTCAATCAACTGACTCTGACTTAATTTTATCGTAATAATAATGAGCGATCTTACTTCTCGCAAGATGTGGTCATTTAACATCCTGAGACATGTTAAACTGTCTATAAAAGTAAAATAAATAAATTCTTATCAAAAGCTCCACTTACCTGCATGAGGTAGTCTGCGATGTACTCTGGTTTTAGGCATGTGACTCCATGAGAGGTAGCTTCAGATACATCGACTCTGAAGTCTCCAGGCTTCAGCCGACTGAAGTCTGCAAACAGGTGAGTGGCCTCCTTGTACAAGGACGGGGAGGGACTCAGCAGGACCTGAAGACAGAGAAATTACAGGTAAGAAGTATGTCTTCACTACGTATATGTATGTATTTATGTTGTCGTGATATGTCATGACGTCCTATGATACGCATTCCAGCATTTGATTAATTAATTTAATCTAAAAGAAAATCATTTTTGCTCAGCTCCTGATTCATTTCTTTGTCAGCTCTGCTCTTACATGACTGCACTCTAAAGCCAACACAAGAAACTCCTACAGTCTTAATACTTCAGTAGCTGATTCAGGGTTTCCTGTAGTGTTTAATAGCGGAGGTGAGTCAACTTGTCTGAAACAAAGACCAGCAAAATGTCAAATTTAATGATTGTGACTGTTGTTGAGGAGTCATCTCCTGATTAAAGTGATCACAAGGCAACATCTGGGTGCCTTATCACTGAGGCTAAACCTTTCACTGGGAAACCCTGTGAGCACAGGAGAGACACTCTCCAAATTGCAATGCAATATTTAGGACAAAGATTCACTACAGGGCCGTTGTTTAAAGATCTGTAACATAAAAATCTCAACCGTATCGTTCGAACATTACATCAACGTTTAACATGATCATAAAGTTACTTTTACAATGATTGTTTTGACCACGGATAACAGCGCTGGGCTACTCCACGATTGAATTTGCCACACAATGCCACAAAACAGTAGCTGTTTTGGTGGTCAATTCATCTAATGCTCATGGTAAGTTAGCAAGTTAACGTTACTTTCATTAGAGTGAAACAACTGAACTTGACTAAACATAACCTGAATGAAACTTTAATACAATAAATAGTCCTTGGACATGACGTCTGCCCAAGTCACATCAGATAGATTTTCATCAGCGGCTGTTTAACAATAAAGACAACTCCCCTGATCTCATGCTACTTTACGATAACATCAAAGTCAGTCTTTTGTCCTTGTTTTAGATTGAGAGACCCCCCGAGCAGCAGAAATTACATACTGTTGCGTTTAAGATGCTGTCTAAAATCTCTCTCTCTCTGATAAACAGTTAGCTGTTTGTCTGATTTGAAAACTACAACAGTGAATAAATAAATAAACAAGCATCAACCTTCGCCCTGCCAGACTGCAGTAACCGCCTGAAGCCTGATTCTCTGCTCTGGTCGATGTTCAGCATGACAGTCCACCCACTGAAGGCTCCCTGAAAAACAATGAAGACAAATAATACATACTACACTTTAACACTCAAGCAGTACCTAATGCAATACAGATGACAGTAATTAGGACTGTTAACTATGTGTATCTGTGTCTGTAAGTACCCCTTGCTCAGAGTGTCCCTGCAGTGCTTTTCTCCAGCGCATGGCAGCTAACGCCAGCCTCCTCTGCTGGGAGGTGATGGAGGGCAACGCATCCAGAATGGAGCTACTGCCCCACTCATACTCCTCCTCCTGGAACACACACAGATAAGATAGGTTAAATATTTCTGAGCATAAAAAATAAGGCTTGCCACTGACCATTTTGTTATAGTTACAAGGATAGGTGAACTTTGGAAATCTTTAAAACTCTCTGAGAATTCCTCCAAACGTTAATAAAATTACAAAATCAAACCAGTATTTTTAAATGTACGGCGCTAATGAAAACCCTGGTGGTCAGTATACAGAACAACAGGACATTAACTGATATGCAGCACATTAAACCAACCGTAACAATACTGTAATTACAGGGTGAATAACACCACTGCACACGAGTGTCATCAGTTGTCTGCTAGAGGCAATAAAAACAGAAATCTTCACATCCTGACCGGGATAAAGCGTCCAACAGAGCGGCAGGCCTCCAGGTACGAGCGGTGCAGAATCCATTTGCCCGCCGCCATTGCTGCCAGGTACTTCTCGTTGCGCAGAGGAGTCCCTACGATGATATGGGAACAGCTGGGGTCGAAAGACTGCTTGTCCAGGACTACACCGCCTGCAACACAAGAAATAGACAGGAAGGAAAAAAAGAAGTATAGATAAGATTTCGCTGTCCTGAAATAGGAGTTACAGACAGGATTATCAACGAATGTAGATCTTTACATAAATTTAAAAGTGCAATTAAACAAGACTTATCACTTTCACTTTTAGAGGCATAATTAAACACAGTTTTCTGGAAAGAATTTAACCTCAAGGACTTACGGTGTATCTTATTGATGTGTCCCTTCATTTTATAAGTTTCTCTTTGTAAATGCATCAGTCTGGTTAATAGTACAGTATAAGTTTCAGTGACTGTTTATCTTATGATAAACTGTGGTTTATTTGAAAATACTGAGCTCACAACAGGAAACATTTGCAGGAGGAAATATCCCAGGACCCTGGAGGTGCATCCTCCTTTTTAGTCATCGGGGATCAGCTCCTCTGACTTCAGGCCTCTGAAGTGTTGCATTTTTTTTTTACTGTAGCATGATGAAACATTTTAAGAGGCCTAATTAGGTGGAGGACTCACCAAGCTCCTCTATGAGGTGACTGTAATCAATGCGCTCCTGAGGGCTGAGGGAGGACAGCTGAAATCTGGGTGGCTGCTTTTCTTCCTCACGCTCCTCCTGAGAGAAACAAAAAACCTTTTAGCACCAGTCGCTTGAAAGAGACACCACAGGGTGCATATTACAGTTGATGTACTACTTGTACACTAAAAGCCATACTTTACACATATTAATAACCACATTAGCATGTGAATGTAGTTGTTTGTACTTGCTGTTAAAGTAAATATGAATCTTCACCTGTGGCTCCGGTGCTACTGCAGGTTTGGCGAGAGGGAAGGCGATGCTCGGGGCTTCAGGAGTAAGGAGGTCATTTTCTCGCCTCTCTGTCAGGGGCGTTGTGATTCTCGGACCCATATGCTGGTCAATGACTTCACAAGCAGCTGGGAGAGGATACAGTCATTAGTGAAAGTTAAAACTGAATTTACAGCGTGTCAAAAGCTTTGTTTGCCATTTCATGTACATGGTGAAAGTGCCCTCTTAAAGGGATAGTGCACCCAAAAATGAAAATTCAGCCATTATCTACTCACCCATATGCCGACGGAGGCCCTGGTGAAGTTTTAGAGTCCTCAAATCCCTTGTGGAGATTGGCGGGGGGAGCGGCTAACACACCTAATGGCAGACAGCGCAAAATTGAATCCACGAAGTATCTCCAACATGCTCATCCGTAGTGATCCAAGTGTCCTGAAGCCCCAACATAAAAAGTTGTTTTGAAAAACGTCATATGAACTCTGTTTTTAGCCTCACTGTAGCTTGTAGCTCTGACTGCTTCTCTGTGCTTCACGCTCACATGTGCTCGCTCAGGGTGATAAGTGATGCATGGTCTCTGAAGAGCAGCAGTCTCGTCAGTACTGATGTCCAGATTCTCAAGTGCAGGCATCACCAATTCCCAGTCTGAGCAGCAAAGACTTTCCTCATTGCTTTGCATTTGAAACAAGTACACCACCAGGTTTCCAGTGCTCGACTCCGGTATTCTGCAGCTGGCTGAGGCTCATGAGCTGCGGCGGCTGCTTCGTCCAGTAGCCTGAGTTCCGTGTCCGTATACTCGGGCTCAAACATATACAGCTCAACAAAGAAATGCTGTTCCTCCTCAATTTCAAAGTCTTCAGACATGTTGGGCTGTCCTTTGCTAAAAGACCGTAGTGCAAATTATCTTTTAGCTCTGTGGTTACTGCTGTCTCTCCCTGCGGTGCACGTGTCACGTGATGTAAACACGGGTGAGCAAAGCCCATGCTTTCGCTGGTCGCGCGCAAGCGCGGAGCACAGAGAAGCAGTCAGAGCTACAGGCTACAGTGAGGCTAAAAAAAGAGTTCATATGACGTTTTTCAAAACAACGTTTTATGTCGCGGCTGCAGCACACTTGGATCACTACAGATGAGCATGTTGGAGATACTTTGTTGATTCAATTTTGTGTTTTTGGATGTTAGTCTGGGGCACCGTCTGCCATTAGGTGTGCTAGCCGCTCCCCCTGCCGATCTCCGCAAGGGATGTGAGGACTCTAAAACTTCACCAGGGCTTCCATCGGCATATGGGTGAGTAGATAATGGCTGAATTTTCACTTTTGGGTGCACTATCCCTTTAAGATGCAGGTAAATGAACAACTAGAGACTTCCTTACAGGATTGGGTTGCAGCAACTATTTGTAAATCCATCGCTGAGTTTGCTAAGCTCTTGATAACGACTGGCCAGTTTCAAAGAAGTGATTTACTGAGGGTGTCTTAACACCTAAACTGTTTGGTTCAGATAAAACAAACTCAGGTCTGTTTTTCAGAGTAGCAGGGCTCATTTGGGTTGTTGTGAAAGCTGTCTATCAAATCCGAGTCTGACCAAACAACAGAACGGAGACCGCTTGAAAAGATGGGTGTCAGTCCGCTTGGAAGCAGACTCTGGTGTGGTTTATTTGTGGTGTGAAAGCAAACAAACCAAGCTGAGGATTTTATGATAGCAGATATGTGATTTTAGCCTGATTTCAAAAGCTAAGTTACTGATAAATCCATCCACTGAATGTAAAATCTTTCCATGCTCTTATAATTGATCTGAATAGGGCCATGTATATAACCTGTGTATCCAGATCACCATGGTAAAATGAATGCATGTCAACGTGAACATTTTCCCTGATTAAAAAGCTGTTAAAACTGCTGCACCGTCATCAGGCTCCTTTTACTTTGTCAGTTCATTAAGTCCATTAAAAGTGTGTGAAAGCGATCCAACAATAAAAAGCCCTGAATCATTACTGTGCAAGACATCTCCTTTTCATCCAGTCTCTACTTGTTAGTCATTATTCAGAATGTGAGGTTGATTTACAGTCTAATAATACTGATAATCAGCTCTTTCTACATCAAAAGTCAGTGTGAACAGGAAACAGACGAGAACTAAAATGCAACAATGTCTCATATGTTAAGCTTTGTCTGCACCAAATGAACCAAACTACAACCCTTAAATCAGGCTGCACCTTTACAACTGCAGTAATATCTCAGTTAGTAAAGACTTACGTGACAGTAATGTGAAAACCAGTTGCTAGGAAAAATTTGTAGCATGTCCAATCAAAACCATCAGCTATGTGAACAATTCACTGTAGCATCACAAGGTGTAACATAGGGAGGCAACCAATATATTAAACTTTCATGCTAATCCTTTGTAAATATAGGTCGGCCTTTGTAATTACAGGTATTTTTTTGTTAACTGTAACATTACATCCTCCCTTTGGATCATTATTAAACCTCATTTTGATAAAATGTCATGTCAATCATATTCCATATTACTTCATTTACTCATATGTTAGTGAGCTAATGTTACTACTGTCAGTTCTTTCAGTTAGCAAGGCAACAACAACACCTTGCAGTTAGCAGGTGTAAATCTTGAGCAACAAGTAATCTCTGTGCTAAAACTACTTTATGCAGTGAGACTTGTTTTAATTCAGTGATCTGTAAATCTCCATTTTTAAGTTACAATTAGGTAAGTTTGATTTCTCACCCATCTCCACTAGCTCTGAGTCCGTCATGGAGTCCCTGAACTGAGGGCCGTTTTCTGCGGTGGGAGGAGGTGGAGGTGCGAGGGGCTCAGAGTGTTGTGAGGGACTCCCAGGCCACTGTAGGTTATCAGCCAGCTTGGCTCTCTCCTCCCTGGCTGTAGGGTCGTCCCAAACGATCTGTTCACTCTGAGATGGCTCTGTGTTGAAGTCCATGGCTGCTTCTCTGGAAACCCTGAAATCAGGACAGAATGAGGTGAATTTATTTGGAAGAGGACGTGTGGGAACACCAGAAAATATTATTTTTGGTAACCAGTAGGGCAATTTTGGCTACGCCAGTTTAAACACGGCAAGTTGTGCCGAGTAGTACTGAGTTGCATCCAAAATGGAGTATCTCTGGAGTCAGGGCAGAGCATGTCTTGCCAACTTCAAGTGGGTTGCAGCAACATCAGATGGATGTTGATTTAAAATACACAAAATTCATACACTGTATTGGTTTATAGCACCACAACCATCCTAAATATATTACCAGTTTGCTTTGAGACGCTTTGAATTGTCATCATTTGAACATTTCTCAGTCCATGGCTACTTTACCTGAGAGCTTCCAGAGTTCGTCTGCTCCCGCAGCGTCCGACCCGGCTCCCATCAGGTGTGTTGGGGCCCGAGTCGGCCCCTCCTGATCCCATCCTGCTGAGTCTGACTGAGGTACGCCTCCCTGTCGTCAGCTTGGTGGCTGACATGATCTCCTGGAGCTGCCTCTGCAGGTTCTCTCTCATTTCTAGAGTCTCTGAACTATCTGGACACAAGAGAGTCGACCACGTGAGTAAAGTTATTGGCTCTAGCAAGTAGGTGCAGAAGTTGTAAAAAGACACCCACCACTTTTATCTGCAGTATCATTCATCTCTTCCCGATCGACGCTTCCATCACTTACACGACGTAAAGTTGTGGCTTCTTCTGTGGCAACGTGTTCACTCTGAGAGGCAGATCATTAAACAGATAATGAAACAGGGAAACGTGAAGACAATTAAATGAGACACTACCTGCATTAATGAGACGTTACTAATAACATAAACATTTAATTCAGTATCCAATGTCTCACTGAATCTTGAACTTACCAACACAATATACACAAGGTGAATTTACAAATATAAACCCACCTTGTCGTCCTTTGCGTCAGTGGCGTCTTTGCGTTGGGTTCGTGTTAAAGGTGGAGACCTCTGAGAGCTGTTGGGCACCTGGCTGAGGTTCAGGCTCATCTTGGGGTTGTAGGTGAAAGGATAGAGAGACTCGGGGACATGTCTCTGCTCGTCAGCACACTGCACAAGACGACACAACACATTAACGTACACAGAAGTTTATTAGAGCTGCCACGAGAATTAATTGAATGAAACAATTATGAGAGGGAACGATGGCTGGAATTCCCATCTGTCTGCAAAATTAGCATATCAAAGCTGTGTTTGATTAAATATTCTGCTTTTGTTGATGGGATGATTATCATTTGCCCCAGGTGAAATGTGCTAAGTGAATACTGAATGGTAATGGGAGGTACAAAGCAGCGCCAACCACCATGAAAATAAGATCACAAATCAAATCAAGTGTATCTTAATATCACTTTGTGTATCTTCTTGAAGACATAATTTCTTTGCAAGCTTGTACAAGTGATGTAATGTCAACAAAACATTTTGCCTTAATCTTTGTGGGAGCAGCATCGTGGTTAGTTTTGCCCCGATCCTTTCCCCTGTGTTTCACAGATGGGTTCGTGTTCTCATTTTGAAGGAAAGCATGATGGCTTTTTTCACAATTATCTGTCATTTTCTAAAACACACGATTACCTGATTCATTCACAAAACTACCTAACTGATAATGAAAACAATCATTAGTGTCCCTCTCAATACATTTCAAGGTGTAAATGTATTAAATGCTGTATAAAGATTTATGAACAGCTTCCTGTGGAGTGCACTTTAACTTTTCAACCAGGTCTGTGTCACCATAGTGTGGGCAGTGTGTGAACAGTGTTTGTTTTCCACCCCATGCTTCAGATTCCCAGCACTGGTGGCTCGAGGGTAGACCAGGCACCGTTATTTGCATACACTGCCCACACTGTGGTGAAACAGACCTGGTTAAAAAATCAGCAAAGTTTCCCTTTACAAGACAAAAAACAAACAAAAAAAGAGAAGTAAAGCAGAACTTGGGCTCTATTTATATTTGCTACTGAGAAACGTACAGCCTGTAGCCAGCACTGGGAGACCACATGCAGCCCTCTCTCTTTCACTCCTCTGTACTCCCGGGTGTTGTCCCCGACACGGCCCTGGTAGATGTAGTGTGTCACTGTGTCATCACAAGCCCACCTAAAAACAAGTAATGAAGTAATGAAATAATGAAATGCTTGTACTGTCTACATCTATATTTACTGAAATAAAGGTAAAAGGATAAGTTCACAATTTTTGAAGTCTTTCTTAAAACAATCCTGATGCAGCCATTAGATTAATGTGTGGTTCAATCTCATCATGGTGTGAGCTTCATGTGCCAGAAAATAACATAATCATCCATTTCTTGTCAAGAGCAAAGGCTCCCAAATTTGTCAAAGCGCTTGGTAGTGCTTGGTAAACTTTTGTGACTAGGCACGAGTGGAGACCCGGTGGGAAACAAAGAGGTATGAAACTATTTTGACTTGAATGTAAGTGACAGTTCAAAAATGCAATATTTGACAGTAAAAAACATACTTGTTGACTTCTTGCTTATCCACAAAATACAGTATCTCACATAAGTGAGTACACCCCTCCCATTTTTGCAAATATTTCATTATATCTTGTCATGGAACAACACTATACAAATGACACTTTGATATAACTTAAAGTTGTCAGTGTACAGCTTGTATAGTAGTATAGATTTACCTTCCTCTGAAAATTACTCAAAACACAGCCATCAACATCTAAACAGCTGGCAACATAAGTGAGTACACCCCACAGTGAACATGTCCAAATTGTGCCTAAAGTGTCAATATTTTGTGTGCCAACCATTATTATCTAGCACTGCCTCAACCTTTTTGGGCATGGAATTCACCAGAGCTCACAGGTTGCTTCAGGAATCCTCTCCCACTCCTCCATGATGACATCATGGAGCAGATGGATGTGAAGACACCTTGTGCTCCTTCACCTTCAGCTTGAGGATGCCCCACAGGTGCACAGGTGAGTTTAGGGCTGGATACATACTTGGCCAATCCATCACCTTCACCTTCACCTTCCTCAGCAAGGCAGTTGTCATCTTCTAGGTGTGTTTTGGCTCATTATCATGTTGGAAAACTTGATAATGAAAACTTGCAGCTCAGTTTCTGAAGAGGGGCGATCATGCTCTGCTCTGAATTCATGTTTCCCTAAATGAACCAAGCTCCCCAGAGCCGGCAGCACTCATGCAGCCCCAAACCATGATGCTGCCACCACTATACTTGACTGTAGGCAAGGGACAGTTGTCTTGGTGCTCTTTCAGCATGTGTGGCACCTTGGTGAAGAGCACCAAGACAACTGTCCCTTGCCTACAGTCAAGTATAGTGGTGGCAGCATCATGGTTTGGGGCTGCATGAGTGCTGCTGGCTCTGGGGAGCTCGGTTCATTTAGGGAAACATGAATTCAGAGCAGAGCATGATCACCCCTCTTCAGAAACTGAGCTGCAATGCAGTTTTCCAACATGATAATGACCCAAAACACACCTAAAAGATGACAACTGCCTTGCTGAGGAAGCTGAAGGTGAAGGTGATGGACTGGCCAAGTATGTATCCAGCCCTAAACTCATCTGTGCACCTGTGGGCCATCCTCAAGCTGAAGGTGGGGTAGCGCAAGGTGTCTTCACATCCATCTGCTCTGTGATGTCATCATGGAGGAGTGGGAGAGGATTCCTGAAGCAACCTGTGAGCTCTGGTGAATTCCATGCCCAAAAAGGTTGAGGCAGTGCTAGATAATAATGGTTGGCACACAAAATATTGACACTTTAGGCACAATTTGGACATGTTCACTGTGGGGTGTACTCACTTATGTTGCCAGCTGTTTAGATGTTGATGGCTGTGTTTTGAGTAATTTTCAGAGGAAGGTAAATCTATACTATTATACAAGCTGTACACTGACTACTTTAAGTTATATCAAAGTGTCATTTGTATAGTGTTGTCCCATGACAAGATATAATGAAATATTTGCAAAAATGGGAGGGGTGTACTCACTTATGTGAGATACTGTATATTTCTTTGTACACTCCCTGGTGTCTCAGAGTAACCTGTAATGAACAACGGGTTGAGCACAAATGCCTCTGTACATGCTTGTAGCTATTGTGCCACCTACGGAGGCCTGCACCATGGTGTTTTGCACGTTAGGATTTTTTAAAAACTTCAACAAATATGAACCCATCCTTTACTGATGTTTGCAAAAATGTGTCAAATACCTGAAGTCAGCTCCAAGTGAGGCAGCAATGGCATTGAGTTCACTTTGCATTTTGCTCAGCTTCTTCCCTACGCAGATCACGACACCAGTCAGAGGGCCGGCTTCTTTTTCTGGGACCTTACAAAAAAATTTGATAATATTTTTATTCATATGTCAAGTGATACACACATAACAGGCATTTCCTGGTTTCTGTAATCATAAGACATCCTTTAGTAAGGGCTCCTATACATTGTATTTGACAAATGAAGTGATTCTGAGATTAAACCACCAATGTCATGTATGCAAACAGGCATACTGTATTTTTATGTATTTCAGTTTACCTCCTTCTCAGTCGTCTTGGTAAACTGGGGGCTAGCAGAGATGGCTTGCATATCTGAGGTGGAATTTCGGGAGCTGTTGGCGAGAGCTACCCTCAGATTCCTGTTGATGACATCAGTCAGTGGAGTATCTACCCTCTCTCCTGGTTTGGATCTTCCCCCTGGAGTCTCCAGATCTCCAAGTGCATCCTTACCAAAGAAACATGCATTTACAGGATTATCTCTCAAATATTCATGCACAATAATTACTACAATTAGTGCCTGCGACATTAAGCAAAAATCATGGCACTAGCTTCTGTTTGTGCTCAGTGGGTCCTTACCTTGACATTGAAGGAAGGCCTGAACAGCTGGTCTCTGCTGAGGAAACGGGAGGGAGTGTCCAGCTGCAGAGGCGCTTCCTTCTGAAGGGGGTTCCTTTTGCCAACCCCCTGGTTTTGTTTGGGGGTGCTGACGTCCTCTTTTGGTTTCTTCGCGTCCAACACAGAGCGGAACACTTTGCTCTGGAAGCGGCCCAGATCCAGCGGGGTAACAGCCTTGCCACTCTGGAGACCCAGGAGAGGGATCTCTGGGGACGAACGTGCTGGTGGAGGCATGGCTTGCCTCTGGGAGCCACCGACAAAACTCTCATCATCCCTCTCTGTAGAAGAAGAAAATAAACTCACTATTGTCATCTGTCATGCAAAAAATGCTTTTACATCCACATATAGGCCTTAGTCAAGACACTTTTCTAACCTGGTGAGGGTGGCAGGTCAACTAGAAAACGCCCCTCCTCCGCCCGCTGGCCGGTCCGAGCAGACTCTAGTATCCAGTGCATAGTGACGGCTGGAAGCCCCCATTTCTTGGCTGCCTGGTACTTTGTGCCCTCTGGGCTCTGCAGCACCAGATGAGTGCTGGCCAGCATCCCTTTCTTCTGGTTGGCCAGGCGCACAAAGTAATCCTGGACACTGTAGGAGGGAGAGAAGATGAGAAGATTTAAGACAGGTAGGTCACAACAGGCAGGTAGGACACATGAGGGTAAAAGCTTGCAGGAGAGAGAGAGAGAGAGAGCACAAATGAACTGTGTTACAACAATATGAACAGACCAGGTCCTCAACATTTATTTAGCTGTGGTATAACCCCACAGCCCAGGAGCTCCTACAGCTTGAAAAATGTACAATGAAACTGTACTTTTGACCCCATCGTTCTGAGCACAAAAACAACTGCTATTACAAAACAAGCACAAAACCTAAACCTAAAACCTTAAACCACTAATATTGCTATTATTTTAACAGTGTAGGGAATGTTATACTTTAGGATTCATCATGTTATTATGAAGCACGCAAAAAAACCCTGAATACAATTGTAAAAAAAAAATACATCTATATATAAAAACTAAAAACATAACATGACAAAAAAGGACAAATTAAACCAGGCTGTTGATGTGTTATATGACTGTCAGCTGTAATGACTACAATATATTATGAATCCACATTTAATGTGTCCAGGGTCATATTTCCTCACCACATGCTATGGAGCTTTTACTGACGAAGGTTTGTCTCCCTCCACATCACTTTTCCATTTGTGTCATTATGTCCAAGAGAAAGTTAGCTCGCTAACAGTGGAAAAACACGTTTGTCTCCACCTAATGATACGTGTGACATGATATTCAAACTAACTGGTCATTGGAATTATGTATATTAATTTGACATTTTTATTAATATGAAGTCCTGGGCACATGGATATAAAAATTGCTAGCTTTGTAAATTACTACCATTTTTTAATTTAATCTAACCATTTAGCAGGATCCCTGCAGCCCACTAGATGGCGCTCTGATGCCCACCAGTGGGCTTTACTGATCACGCCCCTCTGGTTGAAAATAGCTGATGTAAAGCACTTTGAAATTGCCTAAGTCTATAAACAATGCTATATGAATAAATGCCTTTGCCTATGACTCTGTAGAAGATGTAAACACCAAACCCTCCTGCAGCTGTTCATGTAGCTTAACCATGTAGCTCAACAGTAAAACACTGTATGTGGTCAGACTGAAATGTAACCATACTTGGCTCCGAGGTGCTTGGCCAGGTCCACCAAAGACTCCCTCTCTGCTCCGGTGAACTGACTGACAGACAGAACACAGTCTTTGAGAGGAAAACGTCCGTCCATCACAGGAACAGGGGTGAACAAAGGGTTGGAGGACAGCTGCAGAACACACTCCTTCTCCACACACATGGCCTGAAAATTAACAAGAGCAAAACATGTCTTGTCTTGTCTTAGAGAGCACTTTCGTAGGATACAAAACTGACAGAGAACAAATATGTATTTCACAATTTTAAAAATTTTCATTATCAACTGATCTGACAAATATTTTTTGATTAATCGATTGTTTATTCTGTAAATTCTTTGCTTGATAACTGACCTAAACAATTAATGGATTATCAAAATGTGTTGATTTTCTGTCAATACATCAATGACTAACTGTTTTCAGCTCAAAAATTAGGTGTTGCCTCAAAAATGAGACAAACAACACAAAAGAACCCCTTCATTAAAGACAGTTACTAAAAAATAAATATTTACCTCTGTGTTCTACCATTTGAATGAATTGACACATCAGATGGCACTGAAATCACCAATTATGCTCTCCTCCCTTCACAGATAAATCTAAAGCAGTATGAATATGATCTTACCAGCCAGGTATCTGTGACCACCTCGTCCACTGTTGCCTCCACTGAACAGCCCAATAGTGGTACCACCGCGTAGTCTGCCACAACACGTGTGCGACCCATCAGCACCCTGCCTCCGTTTTCCATCACCAGTAGAGAAAGCTGGGCCTCGGCCTCAGCGCCAAAGCCCACAAGGAGGAAACGTTTCTTGAAAAACAGGCCTGCAGCGCTGGCTTCCTGCAAGGTCGAGTCCGCCTCTGGTCCTCTGGTGTGGTTTGGTGCCCAGGATTCAGGCTGAGGCTCTACAGATATACTGACGGACCTCCTGCTGCTGCCCTCTGCTGGTGGGGGCATATCCACTGGGGGATAAAAAGAATGTTGGATTAGCTGCAATGTACAAAACTACATCTGGTAAAATCTCTTAAAAATGTGTCAAATCAAATTAAGCAACTTAAACGACAGATACCTACCTACTGTAGGGTCGTCATCCATGTACTGTGAGAGCAGATCTTCCTCTGCTCTTGTTTGTCTGGGAGTACTGGGACTGGCTGCAGGCGGACCAGCTGAGACCCGGGAGGTGGGAGTGTGATGGGCAGGCACAGTGACAGCAGCCGCAGCCAGGGGCAGACAGTCTGGGTGGAGGTAATCTGCTTCTGGGAGTAGACTGCCTTTGTTGAAACTGTCCAGCAGCCACTGTACTGTCACTACGTGGGGTCTGAAAAGTAACATCCAGACATTACATCATCTCAGTGATTTAACATACTGCAAACTTGCTGAACTGCAACAGTGCTCTTTAAGCAATGTTCTGTATATTTCACTTTGTGACTACATATGATGTTGCAAAACAAATTTCAGATTAAAGATAAGGTAAGTATATGTACTGAACTTTGATAAGACCTAATGTTTACAGACCTTATGATTCAGAACTTTTTAGTTTTGTGGGTTGAAACAGTCAAAACAGACAAGATCTAAAAAGTGAAGAGGCCATAAATACCATGTAAAATAATCATTTTTGGTGCTCAGACCTATGTGTTGCTTTGGAGAGAAAATTCTTGAGCTCCTGGTCCAGCTCTCCCATGACCACATGTGTGAGTTCCTCACTGGGCTGATTGAAGCGCAGACCTCCTGCAGCATTCACAAGACGCTTCAGCTTCTCCAGTTTCTTCCCTGGCAGGCCACACAGATACAGCTGCACAACATTTAACAAGCGTCACATAAAGCCTCAACTTTGTCTTTCACATCATTAATATCTTACAACAACAAAACTGAGGGGAAGAAAACTCCATTCTGTATGAAAGGGAATATTCTCTTGTTTACCTTACAGCCATCCAGTATATCATCAGCTGGGCAGACGGTGAGATCTAGAGTGTCTATGGGGTCTGGAGCCTCCAGGCGGCTGATGCTGCCATTGGTGAGGGCTGTGTCATTTATTGTCATGCTGGCATTGACAGATATGTGACTTAAACCCAACAGAGATGGACCCTCTAGAGCGAAAAAACAGGATTCTTCATTTTAATAAATCACAGAGAATCACTCTGAAACTCATTAAGATTCTAAATGTTGTGTTTAAACCCTATCACACCATGAGGATGACAATGTAAACATATTAAATAGAGTAAACAACAAACAAGCACACTATCAGTTTGCAGCTCACCGTCCTTCTTGTTGGTGCCAGTGGGGGTTGAGGTGTGAGGTCGAGTTGTCTTTGATGCATTACGCTCCACAGCGTACCTGCTCTCGTCTTGACAAAAGCCCTTCTCTATGCTGTCAAACAGCCAGTGCAAAGACACGCAATACACATTCCACTTCTTTGCACACTCGTACTTCTGACCTGCAAACAAATACAATTACTTTCAGTGATTTGTTAATGCTAGTAGCAATAACGGTAGCACACCCAAAACCAGAGCTAGAGCTAGATACTAGAGCTAGATACAAAATGTTGTTCCACTAACTGAATCTGGTCTTTAATTGTACAAAATGGAACTCATTCTGCTAAAGATGGTGGTGAATTACCTGTCGGCTCACTAACGATGAGGTGTGTACACTCATTCATCTTGAGTTGACCGCTGTAGGTGGCTCCGTGCTGTTCACAGAGCCGCTGCACCTCTTTGCGCTCTGTGCTGGAGAGGCCTGTCACACAAACAGTGCAGCCACGCAGCACAGGGCACAGATAGTCCTCAATGGGCAGATCTGTATACCTGAAAAGACTGAGGAAGGCAGAAAGAGGTATTCACTATTGTCACAATGTTATATAACAATTGTATCACTTGATGGTAACATAGTTCTGAACCTATGTTCGAATACAGTACATGAAAGAGTTTATTTGGCCAAGAAAACATCACAAAAATGAATATGTATCTTTCGACCATAGATGTTCGACGAGAAATGTGATTTTTAATAAGATTACACACCTATCCTGAGATTTCTCCCAGCAGGCTTTGATCCATGTGGGCAGCAGGATGGGTTTACCAAGGCTGGCAGCTACCAGATATTTCTTGCTGCCCACCTCTCCCGCTATCAGGTGTGTGACAGATACATTTAAGTCCAGATAGACCCGTCCACCCATGAGCTGCACCAGATCCATCACCTCTGTCTGTAGAGAGGGACATTTAGAGAGACATCAACAGATGGAACACTTTAGAAGACACTGCTGAGGCACAACAATTTGCGAAGCATCAGACACAGTGAACTAACCCGTGTTGCTTTATCCAGACTGGTGCAGGAAATAGTGATGTCAGCCATGGCCATGTTATAGACGGGTTTCTCTGCTCTGGGAACACAATGCTGCTGCTGCAGACAGTACAACACCACCAGTGGGCTCACCACCCGGCAGCCAAGCTACATGACAAATAACAAACAGCGTGAGAGATTAGAGTCAGTCTCTACATTTATTTTATATATTTTATATCTCAATTCTTGAGACAAGAACACAATCCAAGTTACGATGTATGAAATACTGAGTCAGACCCTTTTGCAGTGCAGAAAGGCTGGGCTGGTGAAGCTGCTGAAGACAAACAGAGACTTGTCCTTCTGGTCCATCTGTAAAACTGCATCTTCTTCGATGGTTTTCAAGTACTTGTCAGACTGGAGCTCTGAAATGGCCTGTGTAAACAGAGACGAACACCACCATCATCCACTGCAAAACAACAGCCCTGGCAAAACGTATTCGTACATTAAAGGCTGACAATGAAGTTTACCTCATAAGCTTTGGCAGCATATTCTGTCCTTTGTCCATTACTTTCCACAAACTTGACAATGAAGCCTTCCTTGTCTCCTTTGGACATGGTCAACCTGTAACTGGATAAGGACCAGTGAAATGATACAACGTTTGTTAGAATGGCATTAGCTGGCCTTAGCAGTAGCCTGAGTCGACAGCACTTCCAGAGAATATGTCATGACTAAACATCTTTTAAATACACATCTGGCCATATATTTGTACGTTATATTTATGTACATCAAATTGGCCTACTGAGGTAAGCTACTAGCATAACTGGTGGCCACTTACCTCTTGATGGGCTGTCAGAAAAATAGAGGCAGTGTCAATACTCTGACAGTATTTGACATGAACGCTAACTAGTCATGGAGGACTAGCTTAACGTCAATGTCTTTTTTCCTCGAGAAAATGCTCCAAATAAAACAGTTTATAACCTAACTATGTCCGTTTTAGACAGAGCCTGCTGCGCTAACTTACTTGAACACTGTTAGCTAACATTCAAACAAGCATATAACGTTAAAAATAAAATTCAAAAACACGAGTATTCCTATTATCGTAAACGAATAATTACTAGTTCCCGCAGCACCGAAGAATACACGTACATTTTGTGATAATTTAGTGTTAATAGTTAGGAGAAATTAAAATATCAGCTTTGTTGTTATTCGCGCCAACGGTGTAGCTTCTGGTGTAACCTGCTAATTCGACCGTGTGGAGTCGGACAGTGTTGAAAAGTTCCGCATCTTCAAAATACTCAACATATGATCGATAAGGTATTGTATGAATGCACTAAACCTAAAGTAAAACAATTAAAAATGAATTTAAAAATAAAAGTACAATTAATACAAGCCGAAAATATTAAATAAGTTTAGTTAAGGCCTATTGTTATTTATTCATAACTAGGGCTACTTTGCATCAATTCCTACATTTCTGACCCCAGGTTCGGCGTATCAAATGACACAAAACTAAAAAATAAAATAAAATAACATAAAACAAGATAAAATGAAATAGAATAAAATAAAATAAAATAAAATAGAATAAAAATGTAATTATGTGTTGAAAAACATGTTGATATAATCAACACAATAATGTTAATAATAATAATAATAATAATAATAATAATAATAACAAAATTTGGAGTTTCGTAGATTGTCAGGACCATCCTGTTTTTTTTTACACAAGTGTATTGTTAGCCTTTCTTCCTTTGAATTCTATATATTCGCATAATTACACAGGCATGTGTAAGATAAGTTTTAGGACAATTTGTCTTATAGAGGATAACTCTCTAAACTCTAAACATTAGTTTATTCTCTAAAAGAAAACCTGTAATAAAATATACAAACTCCTGCATGGAATCTATAATTTAGGTTCATTTCAATTCAAGTAAAAAGCCAGTGAAAATGTAATTTTTGTCTTAAAATTCTGGTGGAGAAATATTTAATTTATGGATTTATTTGAGTATTATTGTTAATTATTTTCTTGGCTTTAATGTGGTGAAAATTTAAATATATACTAATTCTATTAAGTACTAGAATTGGCCTATTCCAGTGGTTCACAACTGGTCCAGCCACAGGTACCCAGATTTCTCTTTAGTTATTAGTTCATGGTCTAGAGTTTCATACATTTAGCATAATACTGGTGTTTGGGCCATAATGTCAAGCTAGTGTGCTGCCTCTGTGTCAAGTAGCTGTCCATTAGTCACTCACTCTACAACAGGAAACTAATAAAACCTCTGAGCTGAGAATTCACTGTACTTCAAAATAAAGTGCGTTTTATACAAATTTGACACATTCACGAGTCCCTTGCTGTCCACTCAGAATGGAACCGCAACCCACTGTTGGACGAGGACCCATCAGTTGGGAACCACTGATGTATTCAATGTCAACAAAGTGTTTTAGTGTTAAAATCTACAAATAATTACCATTGACATGACCTGTCAGTGGAACTTTGGACAGTATCAAGTTGAAAGTCATGTCTTTCACTGGCAAGTAAAAATAAGATTATGTTGATGTCATCACTTGGAGTCTCATGAAAAATTGTGATTATTTCACTCTGAGAAAATACATCTATTGATATTTCATCTTTGGTAAAAACAAAATTCTTATCAAACATGGAAAAAAGTAAACTGCTCATTCCACTGAAATCTGTAACTTCAACAAACACAAATGTAAATACAAAAGAACAACACTGTGGGTTCCCTTTTATTCTTAAAATTTTATGTACAAGTGCGACTGATTTATTTTTTTAATGTACATTCAATATAGAAAGTTTATATACGTAATATTACATTGAACATTTCACAAATTGCACTAGTCTTTCACATAGATTCATAATCATTCGTCATGTCTTAGCAGAAGCTCAGTTCCGGTGGTTATTATTCACTCATAAATATTCTAGTGCTTTTTGCATTCTGGGGGAAGGAGAATTACTTTAAAAAAATGTGAGGCAGAAAGGGTTGCCTTCAAAGAGAGTGCAGAATGAACTATGATTTAAGATCAGAGGAATAAGAGGCTGGACATTTGGAGAGCAGATCTGTGAGTGGATCGAACTAGACCTGACCAAACCAGACAAGAGGTCAGCATCACTCTCAGGGTTCAGGGGACATTTTCTTGTGGAGAAGCAGGGCAGAGAAATCAAATGCATATATTTTCTGAGTTCCAATTTTAACATGTTTTCTTCCATATGAGCATCCTTTATACAGACTAGTAAATGACACGTTTATGTAAGAGGTGGATAGGTCCTGTGCACAAATGTCTCACAAACAAGGCCAAGATTTAGGGTAGCCAATCAGGATATGACGAAGAGGAATAAGATAACAGAGAAGAGACAGTTCATCCATAATTAACGCCTCAGTCTTCCAATGTCTTTCTCATGAAAAACAAAATCTAGAGTAAAAAATATATTCATACAAAAAGTAAACTCTTCTGTGTGTCATTGGAAGATACAAGAAAAGTAGTACAGAAACAAAACAAACATGGTCATCCATTAAAACAATTTCAAAGTGTTTATGAAGACTTGAGTGCCGTTTGTAAGGGGAGAGGAGAGTGATACTGGAGGAGGTGTTGCGGATATTTTGGTGACGGTCAATGACGGCCCGCTCTCCTCCGTCTTTCTCTCTCTCTCCATCCCCCTCGTGTGGGAGCTGAACAGTCCTTCTCTGAGCTGCGGCTGTGAAGCTGCAGGGCAGTCTGGGTGCCTGAGCGTGACTGTGTGTGTGTCCATCAGCCTTGGTCTCCAATGTCGTTGTCCACGGGGGGTGGGACGTTGGGCATTACCGTGGTGCCAGTTCCTGCTGTAAGGTAACCTGCTACTCCTGGACCTACAGGTGACAGGAAGTAAGATTCAGTACAGGTGTGACTGGGTGGGACAGATGGAGCACTAGTGGTAAGCTACAATGATGTACTAAACTAAAAGGAATCAACTACTCTATGTCTGAGGAGTGATCACTACAATCACTACATTACATCTTTGAGGGCATTTTTCTTTATTCCTGAAAGCTGGTGGTGAATGGAGATGGTATGATATTATTTTGAGCACTGTGAAGATGGAGAAATGGGAATGGAAAATTAAATGTGGGTCAAAGATGGAGGTAGAGAGGCAAGGAATGGCAGTAGGAGCAAGCTCAAGGTCTACCTGCATCAGAGCAAGAGAGAGGCGGGCTGTGAGGGCCCAGCTTAGGAGTCTAGAGCCCACTTCGCAGTGGGCTACTGGCGGCCAGGAGAGAAGGAGTGGATACCCCTGAGGAGGAGATGTGGAGGACAAAAAGGAAGGGAAAGGCAGAGCCAGGAAGTTATAGGACGTGGAGACAGAACGGGTCTTAAGGGTTTAAGCACAAGTGAGGAGTCAGCCACAAGGTGGTTTTTAGGATAAAGCAAAGCATTAAAGGAACACCTCACCCACCAAATGACCATTTGTATTTCAGTTACTCATCCGTGTTATGTTGCATTCGTAAAGAAAACTTTGTTTTTCTCACATGCCTCTGGTGAACAAAAAAAAAATCCAAAAAAGGACAAGATTCTTGATGGATTGGAGTGATCAGGGTCCGCATTTAACAACAGCAAAACTACATTAAAACATCTGTTTAAAAACTCTCACACAACTCATGCAGTATAATCCAAGTCTCATATATCAAGCTGCATGCTCAGTACTTCCCAAACAGACAGCCCGTTCCAACAGTGAACTGAACTGAAAGTGAAACTATCTTCAAAGCCAGAATACATTGACAAAACCAGTAATTTTACCTCACTAAACACAGAAGCTGCCGCACCTTGACTGGTTGTTTTGTTACTGTGTGACTTTGGTGAATCCAAAATAACCCTTAAAAACACCAAAGTCATATAGTAACACAAACAAACCACCAATCGCGGCAGTGGCAGCCCAGCAACTCCTGAGTTCAACAAGGTAAAAGTACTGTTTTTGTCAATGGAGTTTGGCTGTGGAGAGCATAAGTTTCACGTTTGATTACTTACTTTTTTAGCAAAGACACAAGTGTTTAGAAAGTCCTCAGCATACAACTGGATAAATGATCATGGATTATGTTGCACAACTTGTGTGAGAGTTGTAATTAGATGTTTTGATGCTGTTAAACACGAACCCCCATGACGTCATTCATCAAGCATTTCCTGTTTTTTGATTCTTTGTTGACTAGAGGCATGAGAGAAAAACATGTTTTCTTTCTCACATAACGTAACGCAACACTGGGGGAGTAAGTGACATACAAATAGTCCTTTGTAGGGGGAAGTACTTGTTCAGAATCAACAACAGCTCAGAGAAAGGTACACTTACCTTTTAAAGACTAACATAAAAAACATTTCAACAGCCTGGCTTGTTAAAAGAAAATGTCAAGAGTTGTGATGCTGGGTGTTGAGTAGCAGGTTAAGTTAGAGAGAATTAAAATACTTTACCAGTCAGGTAGCCTGCGGTCTGAGACTCTGAGATGAAAAGATCATGTTTCTGGTCTTTGAAGGCACTCCACACTGAGGACTTCGCTAGAATCTCATTCACCTGCAAAGCAGTGATTGGCCAACAGTTTTGATAAGATTAACAACCAGTATGATGATTCACTGGTCTTAACTGATAATCTGCTGATCATGTATTCTTATCATACCTGCTCTCCGTACTGCAGACTGCGAGTCATGGACTTGAGAGCCTTTACTATCTGGGCCTTGGTAGCTGAAGGGTTTTCTAACGTCTCCAGGCCGATTCCTTCCAGTAACTTCAGGAGGTATGGGACCAGGTCCACTCTTAGAGCCTATTCAGTTCATTAATAAAATAAATTATTAGTAATTTTACATGGTCATCAAACATGATTAACAGAACAAAATCAAATAAACAGTGATGGTGACGGTTTACCTGGGCCACTAGTTCTGTTTGTTCCTTCTGGAACATGCGGTTGAGCGCTTCACAAGCTAGTCCGGCCATGTCTGCACGAGATTTCATCCCAGTCATGAGGGGGCCGATAGTCTCCAGGGAAGCCATGGAGCGTACACACAGCTACACAACACAACAAGAGTGTCATAGTGCAGAAATGAGACAAACTAGCCAAGAAATTGTTTGTTGGCAAATCTTAACAGAGTACTATGAATATTCCGGATACACAAATTCTGGGAGTGTAGATCTTAAAGCAGTACTCAGGGATTTAGTATTGCACTTCCAAAATGTTGGGGGAATGAGACAAAAATAAGGCCAAAATC